GGGATGAGCTGGCTAGCGTTACATGATCCGCTGGTGGGCTGGCATCAGAGAGTGGTTTCTTTTGGTTCAGCACATTGCTTAGAACACTGCAAAGAGGGAAAGGGTTTGGCAGGGGCCCAAGCCACCCTAGCAGGGACTGAAGTAACGGAGAACGTGAAGGTACCACGACAATATGCAGATCTCCGCGACGTCTTCAGCGAAAGGGAAGCTGACCAACTACCCCGCATAGACCCTTTGACTGTCAAATCAATTTACTCCCTGGGGCACAGCTCCCTGTAGGCAAGCTGTACGCCATGTCAGACAGAGAGATGCAGGAGCTAAGAGAGTTCATTGACAAGAACCTGAAGAGAGGGTTCATCAGAGAGTCCAGGGCGGTGGGGGCAGCCCAGTGTTTTTGTGGATAAAAACACGAACAAGCCGAGGCTGGTGTGTGACTTCAGGGCCTTAAATGCAGTGTCAGAACCAGTGGCCTTCCCTATGCCCAGGATTGACGACATTTTGACAAGGGTGCGGAAGGGAAAGATTTTCACAAAGCTGGACCTAAGGGGGGCGTACAACCTGATACGAATAAGGAAGGGTGATGAATGGAAAACCACCATGTTCACCCCTTTAGGGGCATTTGAATATTTGGTTATGCCCTTCGGCCTCCAAGCAGGCTCCGCATGCTTTCAATCGTTTATGAACCACGTCCTGGGGCCTTTGCTTTACAAGAATTGTGTGGCCTTCTTAGACGACGTGTTGGTGTATTCTGAGAATGAGGAGCAGCATGTGAGAGACGTCAGAGAAGTGTTGAGCAGGCTGCAAGCCAACCAGCTGTGGGTGAAACTGGAGAAGTGTCAGTTTCATACCAAGGAGGTGGAATTCCTGGGGTATCGCCTGTCAGACAAGGGATTGGCCATGGATCCCGGCAAGGTCCAGGCGGTGCTGGAATGGAAAACACCCAAAACAAGGAAGGATGTGCAGAGGTTCCTAGGATTTGGGAACTTCTATCGTAAGTTCATCCGAAACTTTGCCCACCTGACGGCGCCCATTACGGACTGTCTCAGCAGTAAGAAGAAGTTCGTTTGGACTGAGGAGGCGGAGCGAGCATTTGAGGAACTAAAAGGGCCTTCGCCTCGGAACAACAACTCCTGCATGTGGATTTACAAAAACCGATGAGAGTGGAAACTGACGCATCAGACAGAGCGATTGGGGCGGTGCTTCTGCAGCCAGGGAAGGAGGAGTCAGAGTGGAGACCGTGTGCCTTTTTTCGCGAAAGCTGAACAAATCCGAGAGGAACTACACGGTGTATGACCGAGAACTACTAGCCATTCATGAGGCGTTCCGGAGATGGAGGCACCTGCTAATTGGCGCACAACATAAGGTGCAAGTGTGCACTGACCACAAGAACCTAGAGTATTGGAGGACGGCACGAGTGCTCAACCAACGGCAAGTGAGATGGGCCCAGGAGTTCTCCAAATTTAACTTTGAGATTTGTTACGTGCCAGGCCCAGAGAACATTAGGGCGGACGCCTCTCACGCAAACCTGAATATTTGGAGGGGAGGGAGCACCCGAAGAGAGACATGTCATTCCAGAGGACCGCTGGGTGTGTGGGGCGGCATTGGTGGGACAAAGAGAACTGGTAGAGGAAACAGAGAATGATGAATACGCCCAGAATAAGCTCAGAGGTCTTAGGGGTGAGGGAGAGGAACCAGGGGGTTTCGAGGAAAGAAATGGAGCTTTGTATTACAAAGGGGCACTGTATATCCCTGAAGGAGACTTAAGGGGAGGGTACTCAAGCAGTTGCACGACAGCCCTACGGCGGGGCATTTTGGACAACACAAAACCATGTGGTTGGTCACCAGGGAATTTTGGTGGCCCAAGGTGAGGGAAGATGTACGTGAGTATGTAAGAGGGTGCGAGCAATGCCAGCGAGCCAAAGGGGAAAGGCGGGCGCCGGCGGGGCTATTAGAACCCTTACCAACCCCAGAACGACCTTGGGAGGCAGTGTCGATAGATTTTATGACTGATCTGCCGAAGTCCAAAGGGAAAACAGCCATCATGGTGGTGGTGGACCTACTAACAAAGATGTGCCACTTTGTAGCTTGCTCGCATGCAGTCACGGCGGAAGAGACAGCGAAGTTATTTGTAGAACACATTTTTAGGTTGCACGGGGTGCCATTGAGGGTGGTCTCAGACCGAGGAAAACAATTTACTTCCAGGTTCTGGAGGAAGCTCATGAGCTTACTGCAGGTGGAGGTCAATTTTTCGACTGCCCGGCACCCTGAAACCAACGGGCAGGCGGAAAGAGCAAACGGTGTCCTCCAGCAATACCTGAGGTGTTATGTCAATGACAGAGAGAATGACTGGGTAGAAAAGTTGGCGCTGGCGGAATTTGCCTACAACAATGCCGAGAATGTGTCCACAGGGATGAGCCCTTCTTGGCTAATTATGGGTGTCATCCCAGGGCTTTCCCAGGGGAGATGGGGAGAGATGGAGCGTCCCGGCAGCCGAGCATTTTGTAGAAGAAATGGAAGCAATCCATTGTCAGCTCCAACTCAACTTAGAAAGGGCGAAGGAAGAATACAAGAGGCAAGCAGACAAGAACCGAAGGGAAGGTGAAACCATAAGGGTGGGAGATAGGGTGTGGCTGTCAACCCAAGGGTTGCCGTTCAAAGGAGGTTGTAAGAAATTAAGACCCAGGAGGTTGGGTCCCTTTGAGGTCATTCAACAGGTCAACCCAGTGGCTTTCAGGCTCCGGTTACCCAACCACATGAAACTGCACCCAGTATTTCACAGGTCGTTACTGTCACCGTACGAAGGGGGACGAGAAGGGATGGCCACTCGGGACCGGTCATAGAAGAAAGAGAATGCAGCAGCCATGTGGCAGAAATCCTCGACGCCAGGTGGAAGGGGAATCAGGTGGAGTATTTGGTAGCGTGGGAAGGAGAACCGGAGTCAGAAAACACTTGGGTAATGGCCGAAGATATCAATGACGAGGTATTGATAGAAACGTTCCATCAAAGGTTCCCAAGGAAACCTCAGCCTGTGGAGAGGTTCCGGAGGGAATACTTTGGGACCACTGATGAGGAGGAGGAGTTGGAAGGCTTCCCGGACTCGGAAGGGGAAGGGGAGATGGACTCTGAGGAGGAGGAGTACTTCGAGACCAGGAACCGCAACAGGTGGAGAGAAGTGTTCGAGACATCGGAAGATGAAGGAAGTTCATTCCGGGTTTTGCCTCCTCACCGCCCGTAGAGGAGGGGGCGAGAGGGGGTGAAGGGGGCCCTGGAGGGGGAGGTGGATGTCAGGGAACTGCCATCGGAAGGAAGGGAGGTGAAAGGGCTCACACAGGTTGGGAGAGACTCAGCAGCTGAAGAGGGAACCAGTAGGGGAGAGGAGCTGAGCTGAGGGAAAGTGAGCTGGAGGGATGGCTCAGAGACACTTCCAGCGAAAACAGTGGGGAGGTTTCAGGACCTCCTGTAGGGACACCCACTCCTCGCCGGAAACTGACACGCAGAGAGTCCAGAAGACGTGTTTCCGTTAAGGAGCTTTTATGTTGGAAGCGATTCCGAAAGCAACCACTGTCGGAATCTGCTAGTGACTAGAGGAGCCATGTCTGAGGGGCTCCGTCACAGACAGAGGTTTGTGGACTTGAACAAACTCTGAGGGGATACGATTTTACGCACAAGCAGCTCATCATCCCATCACATGTGGCTAGTATGTCACATGTCCCTGTTTACTTTCCTAGGATTGGGAAGTGTAAGAACAGAAGTCAGTCTTATCTCTTCCGCTCTGCTGTGCTTTTGCACTGTTCTTTGTCTCCCTGTCTGTTGCTGAAGAAGAGAGAGGATGCCATTATGATCCGTTTGGTCTCGTCTGCAAATGTGATGAGCATCCCCTCAGTTCCTTCATCCATGTCATTTATCAAGACATTGAACAACAACGGGCCCAGGACAGAACCCTGCAGCACCCCTCTGGTCACTTTTCCCCAGGATGAGGAGGAACCATGAAGGAGTCTTCTTTGGGTTCGGTCCGTCAAATCCACCTAACAGTTACCTCATTCAGTCTCATTTTACCAGCATCCTCACATAAATATCACAGAGGACTTTGTCAAAAGCCTTACTGAAATCAAAATACACAATTTCCACAGCAGTCCACTGATCAACAAAGTTTATAACTCCATCCAAAAAAAGAAAAGAAAAGGAGAGATTTCTCTGGCTTGGCTGGTTTTTGAGAAAGCCATGCTTTCATCCTGTATGTTTATATTGTAAAATCTTCAGATAAATTTTAAAAAGGATAAATGAGGATATAGACAAGCTGGAACATGTGCAAAGGGAGGCGATTTATGTATTTATTTAATTTGTAAACCGCCCGACCCAGTGGTGCCGACTTGAATAAAATATTGGTGAAGGGCCAAGTGCCTTGCACTATCAGTCACATGAAGCATGCACACCATTGGAATGGCAAGGTCTATAATGGCAGCGACTTTTTAAAAAAGTAATATTTTGAGCCGGTAGCTCAATTTCCCAGCAGCCCCCTTGCCCCGGAGAACACTTCTAGCCTTCCATCTCCTCTACCTGTGGCATTGTTCAGCAGTGGGGAAAGTGACCTCTTCACACCAGATGTCCATTTGGTATGGCCCTTTCCAAGTTTGTCTTTCATTTGTTCTCCTATGTGTGTTGCCAATAGAAGCCAAAATTGTGTGGGTACTCTAGGTGGTGCAGAAAGCTGGTTTTGGACTACACCTCCCATCATCCCTAGCTAGCAGGACCAATGGGGAGGGATGATGGAAACTGAAGTCCCGGGAGCTGCAGGGGACCCAAGTTTGGGAAAGCCTCCTTTAAAGCAACTTTTGCGTTGGGACCTGTCCACATTTGTATTTTCTTGTATTTTGTTTTTCTCATGACCTTTGTGCGGTTTTTAAAATGTCTTAAAAGGGCAAATTTAAAGCAAAATTGTATGGCAAGTAGCGGAAGAATAAAAGGTTGCATTTGAAAAAAAACACAAAGAAAACCTAGGGCGTGGCCTCCTCAAATATTTTATGGGGGGGCAAAGACCCCTAGGAATTTAAGAGTGGCTGTATTCCCTACACCCACACGTCTCAGGATGCTTGGAACATAAAAACACAACATAAAAACACAAAACATCACATGTTAAAATAGCATTAGATGTCAATAAGAAAAAGGCCTGGTTAAAAAGGTGTGGATTTGCCTGGCTCCTAAAGCTGTATAATGGTTTTTCTGACCTTTGTACGGATTCTTTGATGGGAAGTGAGAGAGGAGCTCTTCCTGAAACTCTTTCCACATTCCACACACTAATAGGGTTTCTCCCTGTATGAATTCTGTGATGGGAAGTGAGAGAGGAGCTCTGACTGAAGCTCTTTCCACATTCCACACACTGATAGGGTTTCTCCCTGTATGAATTCTTTGATGGCAAGTGAGAGAGGAGCTATCAGTGAAGCTCTTTCCACATTCCAAACACTGATACGGTTTCTCCCCTGTATGAATTCTTTGATGGGAAGTGAGACTGCAGCTCTTCCTGAAGCTCTTTCCACATTCCACACACTGATAGGGTTTCTCCCCTGTATGAATTCTGTGATGGGAAGTGAGAGTGCAGCTCTTCCTGAAGCTCTTTCCACATTCCACACACTGATAGGGTTTCTCCCCTGTATGAATTATGTGATGGGAAGTGAGAGAGGAGCCATCAGTGAAGCTCTTTCCACATTCCACACACTGATAGGGTTTCTCCCCTGTATGAATTCTGTGATGGTAAGTGAGTTTAGAGCTAACAGTGAAGCTCTTTCCACATTCCACACACTGATAGGGTTTCTCCCCTGTATGAATCCTTTGATGGGAAGTGAGATTGGAGTTTTTAATGAAGCTTTTTCCACATTCCGCACACTGATAGAGTTTCTCCCCTGTATGAATTCTTTGATGGGAAGTGAGAGAGGAGCTACATGTGAAGCTCTTTCCACATTCCACACACTGATAGGGTTTCTCCCCTGTATGAATTCTGTGATGGGAAGTGAGAGAGGAGCTACATGTGAAGCTCTTTCCACATTCCACACACTGATAGGGGTTCTTCCCTGTATGAATTCTGTGATGGTAAGTGAGAGAGGAGCTACATGTGAAGCTCTTTCCACATTCCACACACTGATAGGGGTTCTCCCCTGTATGAATTCTGTGATGGGAAGTGAGAGAGGAGCTACATGTGAAGCTCTTTCCACATTCCACACACTGATAGGGTTTCTCCCCTGTATGAATTCTTTGATGGCGAGTGAGAGAGGAGCTCTTCCTGAAGCTCTTTCCACATTCCACACACTGATAGGGTTTCTCCCCTGTATGAATTCTTTGATGGGAAGTGAGAGAGGAGCTACATGTGAAGCTCTTTCCACATTCCACACACTGATAGGGTTTCTCCCCTGTATGAATTTTGTGATGGGAAGTGAGAGAGCAGCCATCAGTGAAGCTCTTTCCACATTCCACGCACTGATAGGGTTTCTCCCCTGTATGATTTCTTTGATGAGAAGTGAGAGAGGAGCTCTGACTGAAGCTCTTTCCACATTCCACACACTGATAGGGTTTCTCCCCTGTATGAATTCTTTGATGGGAGGTGAGACCGGAGCTCTTGCTGAAGCTCTTTCCACATTCTACGCACGGATAGGGTTTCTCCCCTGTATGAATTCTTTGATGGGAAGTGAGAGAGGAGCTATGAGTGAAGCTCTTTCCACATTCCACACACTGATAGTGTTTCTCCCCTGTATGAATTCTTTGATGAGAAGTGAGAGAGAAGCTCTGACTAAAGCTCTTTCCACATTCCACACACTGATAGGGTTTCTCCCCTGTATGGATTCTTTGATGGGAAGTGAGATTGGAGCTCTTCCTGAAGCTCTTTCCACATTCCACACACTGATAGGGTTTCTCCCCTGTATGAATTCTTTGATGGGAAGTGAGATTGGAGCTACATGTGAAGCTCTTTCCACATTCCACACACTGATAGGGTTTCTTCCCTGTATGAATTCTTTGATGGCAAGTGAGAGAGGAGCTATGAGTGAAGCTCTTTCCACATTCCATGCACTGATAGAGTATCTTTCCAATGAGATTTTGTTGATGGGAAGTGGAATTGGAGCTCTGACTGCAGCTTTCTCCACACTCCAATTTTTTGTGTGGTTTCTCCTCTCTGGGGATTTTTTCGTGGTCACCTTTGTTCTCAATTTCCAATTCATCACAATCTGCATCGGAGACAAAAAGGGATTAGAGCCTCAGGAACAAATGGAGAAGAACTGAAGGGAGTTGCGTGTGTGTTCATTACCTATGTTGTTTGTTTAATATGAGATTCGGATGAGCTGTTGAATGTTGCTTTGTTTATATAAAGTAGGGGTGAAAATTGTGGACGATTTTTGGAAAAAAGTGTATTTCAGAGGTTTGATGGCTTATAACACCACTTCATTTGGAGTAATGTCATAAAATTATATATCAATGGAAAGATAATTTGATCAAGAATGCAATCAAGAATGCAATCCAACAAAGTTTGTTCAATTACCTGTATTTAATCAAATGTTATAGCCAAATAACCAGAAAAAGGAAGCACAACTTGCTTAGGTTGACTTTTGTCAGTGTGTTATGTGATTGCTATCAAGTAGGTTGGTTTTTTGTGTTCTTTCATTTAGTGAGGGTATAAAACATAATAAAATTATAGAAATGGCACAAAGAGTTGAATGGTCCCCAGAAAGTGATGTAAGATTGTACTATTAAGTGAACAAGGCTACAGTTATGAAGAAATTAGAAGAGAGATTGGGGAAAACTTAACCAAAGTTGGCCTTTCTATATTTTTGAAGAGGTATAAGGAGACTTAGTCACTACAAAATCAGACTTGTTAAGGCAGGGAAAGGTGTACAAAGGCAAGTGACGATGGACGAGTGGAGAGACTTTGCCTACAAGACAGAAGAAAATAATCTGGGTGTATACAAGATGACATGGCGCAATGTAATGGGAAGTTGAGTGCAAGGACTGGTCTAAATGTTAGAATTCTAAGGAAAAAGCCATTGTTATCTCTCAAGCATAGGTTGAAAAGATTAAACCCATGTTAACTGGACAGTGGAACAATGGGACACTACCTTGCTTGGTAGTGATGGTACTAAATATGCAAGTTTCTTTAATTGGAGAAGAATCAGAGAAGATTTACATCCTACTTGCATTACACTGACTGTGAAACACCCAGACAGTGTGATGATCTGGGGTTGTATGGCAGCAAAAGGTGTGGGCAGAATTTGCGTCATTAATGGGAATATAAATGCGGAAAAATGCATAAACGAAAAACGTGAGCCCAAACTGAAGTGTTCCGCAGGTGATCTTTTCCCAGATACTGAAGCATTTATATATTTTCAACAGGATTCAGCTCTATGTCGTGTTGCTGCTGTGTGCAAAAGGTGCATTCAAGATAATGATATTTCACTGCTGGAATGGCCTGGGAATAGCCCACACTTTAACCCAATCAGAAATCTTTGGAGCCGACTAAAGAAATTTGTTATTCAGAAGCAACCCAGCAATAAAGCCCAATTAACAGAGGCAATAATTCAGTCTTGGTTTCACATTATTACAGCTGCAGAACTAAAAATTGGTTCACTTCATGGGAAGGCGTTGTAAGGCCGTAATTAAAGCTAAACGTTACCAATGGTTACCAAAGGTTTCACGTTTTTTCTTTATGACTGCTGTTCTAATAAATACTCCTTCATAAAATTCATTGCATTACATCCTTCATTATCTTTCCATTACTATATAATTTTATGGTATTACTCCACACAAAAGTAGTGTTATGAGCCATCAAACCTCAGAAATACACTTTTCACAAAAGGTTTCCACAATTTCGGCCACTAGGAGAAGTTGTTCATTTTAAAGTTAATGTTTTCTTTATATGGGATCAGATTATTATTATTTATGTTTCATGATTATATGTGTGTTGGAAGCCGCCCAGAGTGGCTGGGGGAACGCAGCCAGATGGGCAGGGTATAAATAAAAATTATTATTATTACTACAGTGGTACCTTGATTTAAGAACAGTCCTCTTCTGGAAAAGATTAAGTTTGTAAACTGAGGTACCACTGTATCATCATCATCATCATCATCATCATCATCATCATCACCACTGCTACTTCTACCTGAAATTCAATAAGCCTAGCTCTTCTCTGGGATGAATTTTGTTTGGCCCAGTCATGGCATCCCCTCCATCTCCAATGTCAGTCATCTCTTTGGTCAACCCAAGACTGACAGGAGCAAAAACAGAAACAGAAAACCTGAAGCTACTTATCTTTCCTAACAATTCTGAAGCTGACATTTAAGATGGCCTGGGCAGTTGAGACCAGCCCAATCATGGTAGAAAAAGGGATAATTTGAGGAAGATTGTTCAAAGAAAAAACTGTAAGTTACTGTTTATTGTGGGGGTGTTATAGGGGGCGCTGTTGAGCTCTGTGAAAATTTATGAGGTTGGTCCATAGAGGTATTTTTGGAATTTCCAGGCAGATATGACGATCCCACAGGGAGCCTTACCAAGAGAGGCCACGATCCCACGATTCTCCTCCATGACGTCCTTATGCAGAGCTCTCTGGTCAGGATCCAGCAACGCCCACTCCTCGTCCGTGAAACGAACAGCGACATCTTCAAAGCACACTGGACCCTAAAAGAAAAAGGGAAATGTCCTCCTCTGAGACAGCAGAAATATGATCTGCTCCACAATGCTCTGTTGTTTCCTTCCTGTACATTGTGGTGTTGTTTTAATACGATTGCTTTGCTGCACATTTTATTTATGGATGCTTATTTTATTCTAAATTTAAATCATGGGTATTCGTTTTTGTGCAAATAAGTTGTACTCCACCTTGTTTTATTCAAGTCATTCTGCCTAGGGAAGCATTCCAGTTTCCCCAATGGAAGGATCCACTTTCTCCTCCCCTCCCAATGCCCTAGAGCCAAATTCAAGGGATCCATGGAGGAATGGGGAGGGGGAGGAATTGGAGGCACGCCCCATTTTGCAGCCGATGGGGCTGGTTAGGCGAATCCAGGCCGCTATTTGTTCTCATTTGTCCACTGCTTAGCAAACAATTTTAGCATTCAGTGATCAATTTAGAAATAAAATAAGCCTATTTTGAATGGCCATCTGTCTTGGATGATCCAGCAGAGATTCCTGCACTGCAGGGGGTCTCCTGGCTGTGAGCGACAAGCAGGGAGAGTGGCTTCTGGCAAAAGGAGAGGGAGCCACCGGTGGCTCTTCCTTCTCCTGACTCACATCAGCCTCTCGACCTTCCTCTCCCACTTGCCTCCTTCCTCTTCTGCCTCTGATTCTGCACTGCATTCTGCCACAGAATCTCCCAGCTCACTGAACCCTGTTTCCCCTTCGGCTTCTGACACCTCCTCTTCCCAGACTTCTCCCTCTTCTCCCTCTGACCGCTCATCCTTCCTCCACCTCCACTCCTTCGGCTCTGAGCCATCTTCCCTTCCTGGTTCCCAGGCTGCTTCCTCCCACCACTCCTCTGTGCCCAACCAGTCCATGACATTGCTCCATCCCTCGGCCTCTGTCCCCACAAGGCAGCTTCCCCTGACCTGATCTGGTTCCAGAGCCGCTGCTTCCCTTCTGCCCCCATGAAAAGGCGGATCAGGAGGTCTTGCCGGCATCCTTCTGCCACCTGCAAGAGAAAAAAGGTAAGCAGGACGCCAGGAGTGCCTGCTTCTCTCACAGGTGAAACAGGGCATCTCTAACTACAGATGGGCCTTTGAGAAAGCCTCACCCGCTGAGTGCATTTGGAGGTTTGTGCCCATTTCATATGTTTGTTTGTGCAGAAATACATCTCCCCTCCTCTGGACCCTTGTTCCCAACTGTCTCCCCCCAAAACAAGATGAAAGGAATCCTCAGATGAGTTGGAAAACCAAGAGAATGAGACCAGTGGAGAAAAACCACCTTCCTCCTTACCCAGTGGCCTCTCTCTGGTGTCCAACGGAGGCCTCTCTGCCTCACAGGAATCCAGGTCCATTTCTGCAAAGAGATCCTTTCCCTGAGAAAGAAACAAGGATTCAAAACAGAGAATGGGAAGAAATACTAGAAAGAGAATGACAAAGACTTGAAGGGTGCGAGATCTCATTCCATCGATTCTTTCCCAGAAAAAGATGGGCCATCAGCAGACCATTATGGGATGTTTTCTGTCCTGTTTGGAACCCCTTGGGAGTATCCAGAGGAAAGTCTCTCTCACCTGTTTACTCTGTTCCTGCTTCCTCTCCTGTGCCTGACTCAGGAGGAAACCTTCGGCCAGGGCCACCGCCTGCGAACTGGTCTCCGCTCCACAGTCCCTCACCCAGCTCTCCATCTCCGGGGGAAGGACAGCCAGGAACTGCTCCAAGATCACCAGGTCCAGCATCTCAGCTTTCGTGTGCCTTTCTGGCTTCAGCCACTGACGGCAAAGGTGGTAGAGTCGGCTGCAAACCTCTCGGGGTCCTTTGGCCTCCTGGCAGCAGAACTGCCTCAACTGCTGGCTCTGCACCTCTGAGCGGAGGGTGTCCACCTCACCATGGATCTTCTGCACAGAGTTTTCCCAAAAACCCCCACTGCTCCCAGTTTGGTTGGCATGGCCTCTTCCTGTTCCAGGGCCAGCTGAGTCTTGCTCATCCATCTGTGCTCTCAGGAAGCCTCTGAGAGATCAGAAGGAACCCTTTGGTCTTCTGCCAAGTTCTGTCCGTCTAAATGAGAAGCTGCAGCAAATCCTACAAAGCAAATACATTGTTCTGTTACAGAATTTGTAGGACGGGGGGGGGGGGGGGATGGTTCCCTGAGCAAGTATGGATGAGTCTTGCTGGGAACCAGGGCTGAAGTGCGCCGCATCCCAGACCATGAGATATCTTTTTGAAAAGAAAGAGGAGGAGGAAGAGGAGAAGAAATAAATCTCTAGCCTTCTAGCAATGCAGAATGTGGAGGCAACTGAAGGGATTTCTGTCAGATTAATCATCCTGGTTTCTCCATCCTTCCAGTCAATGCATGAAGCCAGAACCGAATGACAAGGGAGTCATTTGTATCTTGTGATAAATGGATGCTTTTCTCTAGTGGGGGTCCTGACCTGGGGGTCCTCGGGAGTTGAGAGCCAGTGTGGTGTAGTGGTTAAGAGCGGTAGATCCGTAATCTGGGGAACCGGGTTCACGTCTCCGCTCCTCCACATGCAGCTGCTGGGTGACCTTGGGCCAGTCACACTTCTCTGAAGTCTCTCAGCCCCACTCACCTCACAGAGTGTTTGTTGTGGGGAGGAAGGGAAAGGAGAATGTTAGCCGCTTTGAGACTCCTTAGGGTAGTGATAAAGCGGGATATCAAATCCAAACTCTTCTTCTTCTTCTTCAGCCCCACCCTCACCCCACCTCCACTCCCTGCTTCTGTCCCCTTTTCTGCAATCTCTGCCGCTGTCCAGACAGATTCGTGGGGTGAGATCTCTTTCTCTCTCTTCTGAGGGCCAGGAATGTATCTGACCAACCCCCTGAGGGCCAAGTGGGCGGGGCCAAAGACATCTCCCTTGATTTTTGGATTTATTATTATTCTATTAGATAGCTTAACACAAACTGTTTTGCAATGCAGCAGCCAGACTATGGCCTGGGATCCCTCTCTTTATTCCTGGCCTCTCTTTCCTACTTTTCCTTCCTCCCTCCCCGTGGTTTGTTTTTTTTCCGGGGGGCTAGTGCTCACCTCCTCCTCCAGCTTTGGAAAACCATTTGCACATGTTTCCTCGGTTGTGCAATGAGGCTGAGCGACGTCACACAGAGTTAAAGTCCCAGGGACTCCTTTGTTTAAAGAAGGGAGATTTCGTGGGAGTCAGGGATCCTCTGATCTGCAGGAAGGAGAGCGTGGCAGACCTGGCCCCTCCCTGGCAGGACCCTCTCCTCCCTGACTTGGGGTCCCCCCCCCCACATGAGCAGATCAGGCCCCCCAGGCACCCTCCCCTGCTGCAGCCCTGGGACCCCCACCAGATCCCAGAGAGAGAGGAGACTCACCAGATCCCAGGAGGGACAGCGAGGCAGCCCTTGCAGGAGAGACACCAAAGCAGGAAAGGACTGGGGAGGGAGGGGCCTTGGCTCTGGAGGACCTGGCCCCCCCCTGCTTCCTGGCCTCTCTAGGAAGGCAGCTCACTTCCCTTTAACCCTTGCCAAGCCGAGTCCCTCCAGCTCAGCCCTCTCTCGCTTGGCAGAACCTCAGATTCTTATTATTTCTTATGGATTTTGAGGGGCAGCTGCCCCCCTGGCTACGACAATGCCCAGATATACTTTTGGGGGTGAGGCTCTTGGCTGGACTCTGAGCATCTCCCTCCCTTGGCCAGAAACCAGAGGAAGAGCTTGCAGGGAAAAGGGCTTTGCAGGAGGCAAGGAAGCTCCTCCTAGAATTCAGGAGTGGAGAGATAGGAGGGGATCCCAGGGTCATCTAGTCCAACCCGAAGCAAGAGAGGGCCGGGTCTAGTTTAATGTTTTATTAATTTTTAATGTTTAATAGGTTATTGTATTTTAGTGTTTGATTGGAAGCCGCCCAGAGTGGCTGGGGAAACCCAGCCAGATGGGCGGGGTATAAATAAATTATTATTATTATTATTATTATTATTATTATTATTATTATTACAACCCCCAGCAATGCAGGAATCTCAGCTAAAGGATGCATGGCAGATGGCCGTCCGATCTGTGCTTAGAAACCTCCAAGGAAGGAGAGTCCACCACCTCCCAAGGGAGACCTTTCCCTGCCCAACTGCTCTTAGATGTCCCTCAAGGCAGCGGATCCTGAGTTCTAGCACTGCTGAAACAATCGCACTGGCTACCAAGGAGGAACCGAGCAAAGTTCAAAATAAATAAATCCTATTCTCAAAATAAATGAGTAATACTTTCCTATGCATGCTTTTTATACTGATATACAAAAGTATGCCATTTCCCTTTCCAGAAATGGATGATTGTTGTTATTATGTTTAGGGAAGCTTTTAATATTTGTTGGACTATTGTATTTTAATATTTTGTTGGAAGCCGCCCAGAGTGGCTGAGGAAACCCAACCAGATGGGCAGAGTATAAATATATTATTATTATTATTATTATTATTTATTCAATTGATCAGGTGAGTTTTCTCCTTTCGAAAGAGGGAGGTGGAATCTCCACGGTTGCTAGTAGCATAACGTTGAAAGACTAGGGAAATATGGGGAGCCCTGGAGCATCTGCTTGGCATGCAGAATGTCCCAGGGTCAACCCCTGATATCTCCTGCAAGGGCTGGACGAAATCCCTGCATGAAACTCTGGGGAGCTGCCAGTCAGTGTAGGCCAGGGGTCCTCAAACTATGTTCCCTGGGCCAAATCCAGCCCGCCAGGGTCGTTAATCTGGCCTGCACGGCCATTTCAGAACCCGCCAAGTGTCCGAGGCTGAAAGCATCTCGCTGCCCGCTCAGTCAGTCCCCATGCTGAGCTGATGTAAACGCCACTAGCGTGGTGGCAGCCCTACCAATGGAAGGCCAGGGGGTTTCGCCCGGGGACAGGGCAGTGTTGTCGTTTGGCTTGAAGAGCGAAGTTCAGGTTAGTGGAGGAAGGCAGACGTCGGTCGATTCGGTTTCATTACGTAGACGTTTACTTTAAAAGTGGTAGAAGGAAGTATAGTCCTATTTCTGTAAGTGGCACAGGGGTCTTTTCACTCATGTGGTTTACATGCTCTGAGAGATGGGATCTATTTTGTTATTTTAATTTTAAAAGGGTGGAGTGGAACCGGAGATTGACCATCTTCTTAGCCTGGGGCAGGGGTCAGCAACCTTTTTCAGCCATGAGGCGGTCCACCGTCCCTCAGACCATGTGGGGGGCCAGACTATATTTGGGGGGGGGGATGAACAAATTCCTATGCCCCACAAATAACCCAGGGAGGCATTTTAAATAAAAGGACACATTCTACTCATGTAAAATCACACTGATTCCCGAATTGTCCGCAGGCCGGATTGAGAAGCTTGCCTACCCCTGGCCTGGGGAGCCACATTCTGGTTGAAGGAGGCCAGGATTGGCCCCCAAGGCTTGGGATGTCCCTCCTCCCCTGCAGTAGGACTTGGAATCCAGGAGAAAACTCTTGGAATAGCCTTGCCAGGTGCTCAGGGACAGACTCACCTGTCCCCATGTCCTTCTCTTTGCAGATGTGCTGCGGTTGCACATCTCTCCCCCAGACGTGAGTATTGGAGAGAACCAGAGCAGGGACTCAGACCTGCCCTCCTTGGCCCCCACTCTGCCCTCTCGGAAGTGGAGAAGCCCTCCCTTTGTGAGGAACTGACAGCCTGACTTTTGCCTTTCAGCTGCTGGATGAAGATCAGCTGCTGGAGGAAGATCCAGCCTCTCCTGAGCTGCAGAGGGTCAGGGTTAGAGAGGCGAGTCACCAGAGGATCGGGGCCGCCCTATGCCTCAGGGAGGATAAAAGCCGGAAAGCCCCAGTCCCAAGTTGCGGGAGCAACATTGTTGGTTGCTAGTTCCTGCCTGAGCTCCTGACCCGCCCTGGCTCCCTGCTTGCAAGCCTGTTCCTGACTTCACCCAACTCCCTGCCCTGCACCCAGCTTCAGCTACTACGGACTGCCTCCACGTTGCACCTTTCACCACGGACCGGACTTGGACCTAGCCTCTCGGGTAACCCACGGGACCAGCACAGTTTGCTCCCGCCACACCTGCACTTCCCCTTTCGTTGGGGTGCGTTCGGGAGGAACCAGAAGCCATGGCTGACCAGGCGGCTGCACTGGTGGCATTGGCTCAGGAAAACCAGGTTTTGACCCACACCGTTCAGCAGCTAAGCAATGCAGCTACAGCGCTTCAGCAGCGTTTGGACACGTTACCAGCTCCTGGAGCTGACGCCCCAGCTTCTGGCAAGTACCCAGTGGCCCTGCCAAAGAAATTCAATGGGTCCGCGGCCAGCTTTCCCATGTTTCTTGCCCAAGCCAAGCTGTATATTCAGGGGCGATCCCGGAATTTTCCCGATGACTGCACCAAGGTGCACTTCCTGAACAGCTTGCTGAAGGACCGGGCGGCCAAGTGGGCATTGCCGCTGCTCCAGCAAGACTCTCCCTTGCTGACAGACTATACTGGGTTTTGCAACCATCTGGAAACCGCGTTCGGCAACCCTCAGAAGGGGAGTCAAGCCAATCGGGCGATTCGGAGGTTGAAACAGGACAAGTCCACAGTGGCCGCCTACGCCCCAGAATTTTGGTTGTTTGCACAGGACTTGTCCTGGAATGACTGCAACCTTCAGGACCAGTATCTCGAGGGGCTTTCGGATGAGATACTGGACCAGCTGGCCATGATGGATCGCCCCGCCACGCTGGACACCCTCATTCAACGGAGCCTGCAGATAAGACGATCGGTTGGAGGACCGTCTCCAGGCTCAGAGCGGCCAGCACTCCCGGCTCCAGTCCTTCCCAGCAGTTCCACGGCCACAGCGAAGTCGCTGGAGGAGCCAATGCAGCTTGGGGCAGCGCGGCCTCGCCTCTCCCCCTTGGAGAAGACTCGGCGTCTGGAGGCAAACCTGTGTCTCTACTGCGGCGGGAGTGGACACTATGCCCAATCCTGTCCCGAGAAAACGCCGGCCACAGGGAAATGGCCAACCCCAGTAGCCGATGGCCCAGGCTACCTGGGGTCCCAAACACTTCATGATGGGCCCTCACGGGTGGAATTGCAACACCTCATAGTTCTGGTGCGTCTATATTCCCCTGGCGGGCCCTGGATTTTCACCCACACTCTGGTAGATTCAGGGGCAACCCGCTCCTATATGGACTCTGCCTTTGCCGCCTGTCATCAGGTGGCACTCCAGGACAAGCCAGAACCGGTACGGGTGGAGGCAATTGATGGATAGCTCCTGCGCTCAGGGGCCGTTACTCAGGAGACTCAGCCCTTGGTCCTGTGTCACCAGCAGCACCGGGAGGTGCGCACCTTGGACACTGTCACCATGCCCCGGTTTCCCCTGGTGCTCGGGATGGACTGGCTGGAATCTCACAATGTTCAGATCGACTGGGTCAATCAGACTGTGCGCTTCCCAGACCCGTGTCCCCATGCTCGGGATGCTAGCGGCTGCCCCCACAGGGGAAGCTGCGTAAACGCTCCCCGCTGTTTACCAGGACTACCAAGAAGTGTTTGAGGAACAGGGGGCAGACCAGCTGCCGCCTCATTGGTCTTTCAACTGCGGCATAGACCTCCAGCCCGGGGTGCCCCTGCCTGTGAGCTGCCTATACTCTCTTACGGAGCCAGAGCACTAAGCCTTGCAGGACTTCCTTCGCAAGAACCTGGAGCGCGGGTTCATTCGGCCCTCTACCACACCCACCGCCGCTCCAGTACTCTTCGTTAAGAAGTGTAGGGAGCTTTGTCCCTGCCATGATTACCAGGCCGTAAATAAGATTACCATCCCAGCCCGGTATCCCTTGCCCCTTATTGCAGAGTTGCTGGAACGGGTGCAAGGGGTGCAGATGTTCACCAAGATGGACCTTCGGGGGGCCTACAATTTGATTCGGATCCGAGCCGGGGATGAGTGGAAGACAGCATTTGGGACCCGGTATGGGCAGTTCAAATACCTGGTAATTCATTTCGGGTTGTGCAATGCACCTTCCCTGTTCCAACAGTACATCAACCACGTGTTCCAGGACTTGCTAGACAAGTACGTGGTGGTGTACCTAGATGACATTCTGATTTACTCCCATGACCCAGCTCGCCACGAGGGTCATGTCCGGTCCATGTTGCAGCGCTTGCGGGAGCAATGCCTGTATGCTAAGCTCAGCAAGTGAAAGTTCCACCAGCGGTCAGTGGACTTCCTTGGTCACCAGCTCTTCACTGATGGGGTGCAGATGGATCCCGGGAAGGTGGCAGCAGTTCGGGAATGGGCAGCACCCCAGAACCGCAAGGACCTACAGCGGTTCCTGGGGTTCGCCAACTATTACTGGACCTTCATTGTGGACTATGCTCATCCCGCCACCCCGTTAACCCGACTGCTGTGCCCCAAGACACCATTCTCCTGGGACAAGGAGGCAGAGGTGGCGTTTCAGGGGTTGAAAGCCTGTCTCCAGAGGGCGCCACTTTTATAGCATCCTATGTCAGCATCGCCCTTGAGCCAGTGCCACCAACTGGACTCATCCACTTCAGCCCCGACTGGGCCAGGCGAGCTGGGGTAGCACTTCCAGAGACCACCTTCTGCACAGGAACTGGTCAAAGTGCTGTGGACTCACAGCTTAGAGTTGTGAGCACCGGATTCACTTCTAGAAGACAGTCGTTGCACAGCAGAGTATAGCAGAGTATAGCAGAGCATAAACGACTCGGAGAGCAGCTCTGTAGAATATCTTCTTTATTCTATCTACAACTATAATACACAACTATATACAGAGCTAAATGAGGTCTAAATGAAAATGCTGAACTGCACTGAGTGTCTACAGCTGCTATATATATATATATATATATATATATATATATTATTTTACAACACAAATATACAATTTTCTCCAATTTTTAACAAACAAATTCTCTCTTTTTGGACTTCCTTCAGCTTCTCTGACAATCATCCATCTGTACCTCTTAATTACGCATTCCTTCTCCTTTAGTATTGTCTTTAGTCTTCCCTCCCACATCTATTGTTTTTGACAATACCTATTAAATTTCACAATGCTTCTTTAAATCCCACTAACGTTGTTTGCACATCGCATATATTTTTCAGATATTCTACAAATTTCCTCAGTCTTCGATGAACTTTTGGTCTTTAAGATATCTGATTTTCCCAGTTAGCTTGTCCAATTCTGCATAGTCCGTCAGTTTTGATCTCCAATCTTCTATCGTCGGTATTTCCTCTTGTTTCCATTTCTGGGCCAGTAGAATCCTTGCAGCTGTAACAGCATATTGAAAGAGTTTGCAGTCTTTTCTTCTTATCTCGTTTCCTGTAATCCCTAAAAGAAAAGCTTCTGGTTTCTTTACAAATGTATACTTTAACATCTTTTTCAACTCGTTATATATCATCTCCCAGAAACTTTTAACTTTCTTACAATCCCACCACATATGGTAAAACGTTCCTTCTTTTTCTTTACATTTCCAACACTTATTAGACATCTTAAACATTTTTGCCAATTTTACTGGTGTTATATACCATCTATAGAACATTTTCATCACATTTTCCTTTAACGCCGTACATGCAGTGAATTTTAAGTTTTCTTTCCATAATTTTTCCCAATCCTCAAATTGTATATTATGACCAAAATCCCTGGCCCAGTGTGTCTACAGCTGCTCTTAGCAGCAACCTTATCTATACACACGATCTCTCTCTAACACTCAGTCTCTCTCTCTCTCTCTCTCTCTCTCCGATACTGACTGACACTTTGATGTTAGGCTGGAGCGGAATAAGTAGAGAGCAGAAACCGCCCCTCCTCTCTGGAGAATCAGCAGAGAACATCAGCAGATTCTTGGATATGGGAGGGGTGAAATCTCATCCTAATCCCTCTCGTCCCTTCGTGGTGGAGACCGACGCCTCCAGTACGGCTCTCGGTGCCGTCTTGTCCCAGCAGCACGGACCTGATGCGCTGCTGTTACTCTGCGCCTACTATTCCTGCCAGCTTCTTCTGGCAGAGTGTAACTATACCGTGTGGGAGCGGGAACTACTGGCCATCAAGGTGACCTTTGAGGTCTGGAGCCATCATCTTGAGGGGGCAAGACACCTGGTGGATGTGAGAACTGACCACCGGAACCTGGAGTACCTCCAGACTGGGTCGACCACTTGGCATTGGAGGAGTTTGCTTACAACAATACGTTGAACGCCTCCACCCAGCAGACCCTGTTTCAGGCCATGGACGGTTACCATCCTCGTTTGTTCCCGGATGTGCTGCAAGCATCTGCAGTCCCGAGGGTGACAGATTGGCTCCAGGAGCTCCAGTCTCAGCACCAACTATTGATGGAGCAACTGCGCCAGGCCAAGGATGCGTACAAGGCCCAGGCCGACCGCCACCACCAGGTGGGGCCGGAACTCCACGTCGGCGAGCCATGGGGCTATATAAATTCTAATTGGACTCCGTTTGAATTGGACAATTGTATCCAGGCTGCAGTTAGCTTTTTGGTCCCTTAGGAACAACTGAGCAACTTCCCTAGAGTGGAAGACCAGAGCCTATAATAATAAAAATACCATAGAAAGGCCAAGGCACAGACATCTCTCTCAAGAAATGTCCAAACCTGTGCCACTACAAGGTGACATGGTCAATATGAAAGCCCTACAGGGATTCACCAGGGATTGTTGCTGCTGTGATATGATGGAGGTGTGAGACCAGACGAGAGCTAGCTTTGACACCTGGGAACACACAAAAAAGACAGAAACAAAACAAACTGCATTTTTCACTCATTATTTGACCTTCCTGCTAAGTGTAAAGCAGAGACCACTATTGAGAATGTTTCTCCTAAACTGCTAGAATACCACAAGTAATTTAGTACAAAATGCAACATGTGTTATTTTTTATGTGATATCCTATGTCCAGCTATGTGCACTGCTACACCTGCAAATAGCCTTAAGAGGCCTGACATGCAAGTCTCTTAAGATTTACACGAAGGCATCCATTTGCAACATACCAGGTTATTATTTGTGGGGCAACAATATTTTAGAAAAAAATTATATCGCCAAAGGGGGGAATTGTTATAAGAATTTTTAGGATATTTTATACATATATATATATATATATATATATATATATATATATATATATATAAATAAATAAATGTACCAAGCAAACACATATATTAATATATAAACTACATGTCCAAAACCCACAGGAAAAGTCCTAAAGCCATTTTGACTCTTTCACTCTTTCAGTCACCTCAAATATTTCTCTACAAGGTAAAAGGAAATGCAGAAACCTCCCCATTGTCTCTGTCCTCACAAATCCTGCCTTAAGGGCACATTTAAGGTGTGAATAGGGTGAGCCTGTGACCTGGCTCAGGAATGAAGTATTATCATTACAAAAGAATGGCCAGCCTCCCCAGGTAATCTAGTCAAGTGGCCATTAACAGGTAACCTGGCAGACAAGGTAAAAACTATGCACTCAGATTTCTGTTGTAGACTGCCTTTTCTGTGATGTATGTATGATGTTTCTGGGGGTGGTCTTGGACTCCAGGGCGGGCAATTAAAAATATATAAGGGCTTACATGCATATATAAGGGCTTACATATCTATATAAGGGCTTGCATGCAGGGCTCAGGGTCCTCCTCCTCTCTCCTGCGTGTGGGGTAGCACCCTGTTGCAACAGTTAATAAAGAACAGGCTTACTAGCTGCTTTGTTTCTTAATATTCTCTGGTTGGTCTCTGTTATTTTCTCCTACCGATAGAGAACGTATAAAAGGGCTGTATATGGGCCCTTGGGTACCCCATAAGGAAAAAGGAGCAGGTTTTTTCCTTATATCACCTGCAATCATGTGTGGTGTGTTAGCAATTCACTCCTCCCGTTGTTGAATATGTGGCTTGTATGTCACATGTCCCTGTTTACTTTCCTAGGATTGAGAAGTGTAAGAACGGAAGTCAGTCTTATCTCTTCCGCTCTGCTGTGCTTTTGCACTGTTCTTTGTCTCCCTGTCTGTTGCTGAAGAAGAGAGAGGATGCCATTATGATCCGTTTGGTCTCGTCTGCAAATGTGATGAGCATCCCCTCAGTTCCTTCATCCATGTCATTTATCAAGACATTGAACAACAACGGGCCCAGGACAGAACCCTGCAGCACCCCTCTGGTCACTTTTCCCCAGGATGAGGAGGAACCATGAAGGAGTCTTCTTTGGGTTCGGTCCGTCAAATCCACCTAACAGTTACCTCATTCAGTCTCATTTTACCAGCATCCTCACATAAATATCACAGAGGACTTTGTCAAAAGCCTTACTGAAATCAAAATACACAATTTCCACAGCAGTCCACTGATCAACAAAGTTTATAACTCCATCCAAAAAAGAAAAGAAAAGGAGAGATTTCTCTGGCTTGGCTTGTTTTTGAGAAAGCCATGCTTTCATCCTGTATGTTTATATTGTAAAATCTTCAGATAAATTTTAAAAAGGATAAATGAGGATATAGACAAGCTGGAACATGTGCAAAGGGAGGCGATTTATGTATTTATTTAATTTGTAAACCGCCCGACCCAGTGGTGCCGACTTGAATAAAATATTGGTGAGGGGCCAGGTAAGGCCTGCCTTGCACTATCAGTCACATGATGCATGCACACCATTTGAATGGCAAGGTCTATAAAGGCAGTAACTTTTTAAAAAAGTAATATTTTGAGCCGGTAGCTCAATTTCCCAGCAGCTCCCCTTGCCCCGGAGAACACTTCTAGCCTTCCATCTCCTCTACCTGTGGCATTGTTCAGCAGTGGGGATAGTGACCTCTTCACACCAGATGTCCATTTGGTATGGCCCTTTCCAAGTTTGTCTTTCATTTGTTCTCCTATGTGTGTTGCCAATAGAAGCCAAAATTGTGTGGGTACTCTAGGTGGTGCAGAAAGCTGGTTTTGGACTACACCTCCCATCATCCCTAGCTAGCAGGACCAATGGGGAGGGATGATGGAAACTGAAGTCCCGGGAGCTGCAGGGGACCCAAGTTTGGGAAAGCCTCCTTTAAAGCAACTTTTGCGTTGGGACCTGTCCACATTTGTATTTTCTTGTATTTTGTTTTTCTCATGACCTTTGTGCGGTTTTTAAAATGTCTTAAAAGGGCAAATTTAAAGCAAAATTGTATGGCAAGTAGCGGAAGAATAAAAGGTTGCATTTGAAAAAACACAAAGAAAACCTAGGGCGTGGCCTCCTCAAATATTTTATGGGGGCAAAGACCCCTAGGAATTTAAGAGTGGCTGTATTCCCTACACCCACACGTCTCAGGATGCTTGGAACATAAAAACACAACATAAAAACACAAAACATCACATGTTAAAATAGCATTAGATGTCAATAAGAAAAAGGCCTGGTTAAAAAGGTGTGGATTTGCCTGGCTCCTAAAGCTGTATAATGGTTTTTCTGACCTTTGTACGGATTCTTTGATGGGAAGTGAGAGAGGAGCTCTTCCTGAAACTCTTTCCACATTCCACACACTAATAGGGTTTCTCCCTGTATGAAGTCTGTGATGGGAAGTGAGATTGGAGCTCTGACTGAAGCTCTTTCCACATTCCACACACTGATAGGGTTTCTCCCCTGTATGAATTCTTTGATGGCAAGTGAGAGAGGAGCTATCAGTGAAGCTCTTTCCACATTCCAAACACTGATACGGTTTCTCCCCTGTATGAATTCTTTGATGGGAAGTGAGATTGGAGCTGGTACTGAAGCTCTTTCCACATTCCACACACTGATAGGGTTTCTCCCCTGTATGAATTCTGTGATGGTAAGTGAGTTTAGAGCTAACAGTGAAGCTCTTTCCACATTCCACACACTGATAGAGTTTCTCCCCTGTATGAATTCTTTGATGGGAAGTGAGAGAGGAGCTACATGTGAAGCTCTTTCCACATTCCACACACTGATAGGGTTTCTCCCCTGTATGAATTCTGTGATGGTAAGTGAGAGAGGAGCTACATGTGAAGCTCTTTCCACATTCCACACACTGATAGGGTTTCTCCCCTGTATGAATTCTGTGATGGTAAGTGAGAGAGGAGCTACATGTGAAGCTCTTTCCACATTCCACACACTGATAGGGGTTCTCCCCTGTATGAATTCTGTGATGGTAAGTGAGTTTAGAGCTAACAGTGAAGCTCTTTCCACATTCCACACACTGATAGGGTTTCTCCCCTGTATGAATTCTTTGATGGCGAGTGAGAGAGGAGCTCTTCCCGAAGCTCTTTCCACATTCCACACACTGATAGGGTTTCTCCCCTGTATGAATTCTTTGATGGGAAGTGAGAGAGGAGCTACATGTGAAGCTCTTTCCACATTCCACACACTGATAGGGTTTCTCCCTGTATGAATTTTGTGATGGGAAGTGAGAGAGCAGCCATCAGAGCAGCACTTTCGACAGTCCTCGATCTGAGAGCGATTCTGCCCTGTATGATTTCTTTGATGAGAAGTGAGAGAGGAGCTCTGACTGAAGCTCTTTCCACATTCCACACACTGATAGGGTTTCTCCCCTGTATGAATTCTTTGATGGGAGGTGAGACCGGAGCTCTTGCTGAAGCTCTTTCCACATTCTACGCACGGATAGGGTTTCTCCCCTGTATGAATTCTTTGATGGGAAGTGAGAGAGGAGCTATGAGTGAAGCTCTTTCCACATTCCACACACTGATAGGGTTTCTCCCCTGTATGAATTCTTTGATGAGAAGTGAGAGAGGAGCTCTGACTGAAGCTCTTTCCACATTCCACACACTGATAGGGTTTCTCCCCTGTATGGATTCTTTGATGGGAAGTGAGATTGGAGCTCTTCCTGAAGCTCTTTCCACATTCCACACACTGATAGGGTTCCCCCCTGTATGAATTCTTTGATGGCAAGTGAGATTGGAGCTATGAGTGAAGCTCTTTCCACATTCCACACACTGATAGGGTTTCTTCCCTGTATGAATTCTTTGATGGCAAGTGAGAGAGGAGCTATGAGTGAAGCTCTTTCCACATTCCATGCACTGATAGAGTATCTTTCCAATGAGATTTTGTTGATGGGAAGTGGAATTGGAGCTCTGACTGCAGCTTTCTCCACACTCCAATTTTTTGTGTGGTTTCTCCTCTCTGGGGATTTTTTCGTGGTCACCTTTGTTCTCAATTTCCAATTCATCACAATCTGCATCGGAGACAAAAAGGGATTAGAGCCTCAGGAACAAATGGAGAAGAACTGAAGGGAGTTGCGTGTGTGTTCATTACCTATGTTGTTTGTTTAATATGAGATTCGGATGAGCTGTTGAATGTTGCTTTGTTTATATAAAGTAGGGGTGAAAATTGTGGACGATTTTTGGAAAAAAGTGTATTTCAGAGGTTTGATGGCTTATAACACCACTTCATTTGGAGTAATGTCATAAAATTATATATCAATGGAAAGATAATTTGATCAAGAATGCAATCAAGAATGCAATCCAACAAAGTTTGTTCAATTACCTGTATTTAATCAAATGTTATAGCCAAATAACCAGAAAAAGGAAGCACAACTTGCTTAGGTTGACTTTTGTCAGTGTGTTATGTGATTGCTATCAAGTAGGTTGGTTTTTTGTGTTCTTTCATTTAGTGAGGGTATAAAACATAATAAAATTATAGAAATGGCACAAAGAGTTGAATGGTCCCCAGAAAGTGATGTAAGATTGTACTATTAAGTGAAGAAGGCTACAGTTATGAAGAAATGAGAAGAGAGATTGGGGAAAACTTAACCAAAGTTGGCCTTTCTATATTTTTGAAGAGGTATAAGGAGACTTAGTCACTACAAAATCAGACTTGTTAAGGCAGGGAAAGGTGTACAAAGGCAAGTGACGATGGACGAGTGGAGAGACTTTGCCTACAAGACAGAAGAAAATAATCTGGGTGTATACAAGATGACATGGCGCAATGTAATGGGAAGTTGAGTGCAAGGACTGGTCTAAATGTTAGAATTCTAAGGAAAAAGCCATTGTTATCTCTCAAGCATAGGTTGAAAAGATTAAACCCATGTTAACTGGACAGTGGAACAATGGGACACTACCTTGCTTGGTAGTGATGGTACGAAATATGCAAGTTTCTTTAATTGGAGAAGAATCAGAGAAGATTTACATCCTACTTGCATTACACTGACTGTGAAACACCCAGACAGTGTGATGATCTGGGGTTGTATGGCAGCAAAAGGTGTGGGCAGAATTTGCGTCATTAATGGGAATATAAATGCGGAAAAATGCATAAACGAAAAACGTGAGCCCAAACTGAAGTGTTCCGCAGGTGATCTTTTCCCAGATACTGAAGCATTTATATATTTTCAACAGGATTCAGCTCTATGTCGTGTTGCTGCTGTGTGCAAAAGGTGCATTCAAGATAATGATATTTCACTGCTGGAATGGCCTGGGAATAGCCCACACTTTAACCCAATCAGAAATCTTTGGAGCCGACTAAAGAAATTTGTTATTCAGAAGCAACCCAGCAATAAAGCCCAATTAACAGAGGCAATAATTCAGTCTTGGTTTCACATTATTACAGCTGCAGAACTAAAAACTTGGTTCACTTCATGGGAAGGCGTTGTAAGGCCGTAATTAAAGCTAAACGTTACCAATGGTTACCAAAGGTTTCACGTTTTTTCTTTATGACTGCTGTTCTAATAAATACTCCTTCATAAAATTCATTGCATTACATCCTTCATTATCTTTCCATTACTATATAATTTTATGGTATTACTCCACACAAAAGTAGTGTTATGAGCCATCAAACCTCAGAAATACACTTTTCACAAAAGGTTTCCACAATTTCGGCCACTAGGAGAAGTTGTTCATTTTAAAGTTAATGTTTTCTTTATATGGGATCAGATTATTATTATTTATGTTTCATGATTATATGTGTGTTGGAAGCCGCCCAGAGTGGCTGGGGGAACGCAGCCAGATGGGCAGGGTATAAATATAAATTATTATTATTACTACAGTGGTACCTTGATTTAAGAACAGTCCTCTTCTGGAAAAGATTAAGTTTGTAAACCGAGGTACCACTGTATCATCATCATCATCATCATCATCATCATCACCACCACTGCTACTTCTACCTGAAATTCAATAAGCCTAGCTCTTCTCTGGGATGAATTTTGTTTGGCCCAGTCATGGCATCCCCTCCATCTCCAATGTCAGTCGTCTCTTTGGTCAACCCAAGACTGACAGGAGCAAAAACAAAAACAGAAAACCTGAAGCTACTTATCTTTCCTAACAATTCTGAAGCTGACATTTAAGATGGCCTGGGCAGTTCAGACCAGCCCAATCATGGTAGAAAAAGGGATAATTTGAGGAAGATTGTTCAAAGAAAAACTGTAAGTTACTGTTTATTGTGGGGGTGTTATAGGGGGCGCTGTTGAGCTCTGTGAAAATTTATGAGGTTGGTCCATAGAGGTATTTTTGGAATTTCCAGGCAGATATGACGATCCCACAGGGAGCCTTACCAAGAGAGGCCACGATCCCACGATTCTCCTCCATGACGTCCTTATGCAGAGCTCTCTGGTCAGGATCCAGCAACGCCCACTCCTCGTCCGTGAAACGAACAGCGACATCTTCAAAGCACACTGGACCCTAAAAGAAAAAGGGAAATGTCCTCCTCTGAGACAGCAGAAATATGATCTGCTCCACAATGCTCTGTTGTTTCCTTCCTGTACATTGTGGTGTTGTTTTAATACGATTGCTTTGCTGCACATTTTAATTATGGATGCTTATTTTAATCTGCATTTTAATTATGGGTATTCGTTTCTGCGCAAATAGGTGGTACTCCACCTTGTGTTTTTCAAGTCATTCTGCCTACGCAAGCATTCCAGTTTCCCCAATGGAAGGATCCACTTTCTCCTCTCCTTGTGAGCCGTTCTGGGGAGTTCCCTCCCAATGCCCTAGAGCCAAATTCAAGGGGGTCATGGGGGCATGGAGAGGGGGAGGAATGGGGGGGGCAAGCCCCATTTTGCAGCCGATGGGGCTGGTTAGGCGAATCCAGGCCGCTATTTGTTCTCATTTGTCCACTGCTTAGAAACCAATTTTTGCATTCAGTTATCAATCTAGAAATAAAATAAGCCTCTTTTGGATGGTCATCTGTCTTGGATGATCTAGCAGAGATTCCTGCATTGCAGGGGGTCTCCTGGCTCTGAGAGACAAGCAGGGAGGGTGGCTTCTGGCAAAGGAGAGGGTTAGCCACCGGTGGCCCCTCCTTATCCTGACTCACCTCAGCCTCTCGACCTTCCTCTCCCACTCGCCTCCTTCCTCTTCTGCCTCTGATTCTGCGCTGCATTCTGCCACAGAATCTCCCAGCTCACTAAACCCTGTTACTTCTTCGGCTTCTGATATCTCCTCTTCCCAGTCTTTTCCCTATTCTTCCTCTGACCGCTCATCCTTCCTCCACCTCCAATCCTTGGGCTCTCAGCCATCTTCCCTTCCTGGTTCCCAGGCTGCTTCCTCCCACCATTTCTCTGTGTCCAGCCAGTCCATGACATTGCTCCATCCCTCGGCCTCTGTCCCCACAAGGCAGCTTCCCCTGACCTGATCTGGTTCCACAGCCGCTGCTTCCCTTCTGCCCCCATGAAAAGGCGGATCAGGAGGTCTTGCCGGCATCCTTCTGCCACCTGCAAGAGAAAAAAGGTAAGCAGGACGCCAGGAGTGCCTGCTTCTCTCACAGGTGAAACAGGGCATCTCTAACTACAGATGGGCCTTTGAGAAAGCCTCACCCGCTGAGTGCATTTGGAGGTTTGTGCCCATTTCATATGTTTGTTTGTGCAGAAATACATCTCCCCTCCTCTGGACCCTTGTTCCCAACTGTCTCCCCCCAAAACAAGATGAAAGGAATCCTCAGATGAGTTGGAAAACCAAGAGAATGAGACCAGTGGAGAAAAACCACCTTCCTCCTTACCCAGTGGCCTCTCTCTGGTGTCCAACGGAGGCCTCTCTGCCTCACAGGAATCCAGGTCCATTTCTGCAAAGAGATCCTTTCCCTGAGAAAGAAACAAGGATTCAAAACAGAGAATGGGAAGAAATACTAGAAAGAGAATGACAAAGACTTGAAGGGTGCGAGATCTCATTCCATCGATTCTTTCCCAGAAAAAAGATGGGCCATCAGCAGACCATTATGGGATGTTTTCTGTCCTGTTTGGAACCCCTTGGGAGTATCCAGAGGAAAGTCTCTCTCACCTGTTTACTCTGTTCCTGCTTCCTCTCCTGTGCCTGACTCAGGAGGAAACCTTCGGCCAGGGCCACCGCCTGCGAACTGGTCTCCGCTCCACAGTCCCTCACCCAGCTCTCCATCTCCGGGGGAAGGACAGCCAGGAACTGCTCCAAGATCACCAGGTCCAGCATCTCAGCTTTCGTGTGCCTTTCTGGCTTCAGCCACTGATGGTCAAGGTGGTAGAGTCGGCTGCAAACCTCTCGGGGTCCTTTGGCCTCCTGGCAGCAGAACTGCCTCAACTGCTGGCTCTGCACCTCTGAGCGGAGGGTGTCCACCTCACCATGGATCTTCTGCACCGAGTTTTCCCAAAAACCCCCACTGCTCCCAGTTTGGTTGGCATGGCCTCTTCCTGTTCCAGGGCCAGCTGAGTCTTGCTCATCCATCTGTGCTCTCAGGAAGCCTCTGAGAGATCAGAAGGAACCCTTTGGTCTTCTGCCAAGTTCTGTCCGTCTAAATGAGAAGCTGCAGCAAATCCTACAAAGCAAATACATTGTTCTGTTACAGAATTTGTAGGACGGGGGGGGGGGGATGGTTCCCTGAGCAAGTATGGATGAGTCTTGCTGGGAACCAGGGCTGAAGTGCGCCGCATCCCAGACCATGAGATATCTTTCTGATAAGAAAGAGGAGGAGGAAGAGGA